CCTGTTGGAGTATAACAGTAATGTAATAATTACGTCTCAAAATAAGTATATGTGTATATCCATTTACAGGTTTTCGACCACAGGTGTCTTTATAGAACTCCTCACGTACGATGGAATAACCGTGTGAGCAATGTCAAGGTTAGATGAAATGCACTAGGCAAGGAAGACAAGTTAGTTGATGGGATTGGGAAACTTCACCGAATGATGTGGTTTAGATGTGTGATGCACACCCCAGGCCACTACCTACCTCGATGTGTAACGTCAACTGAAGTTGAAGTAAGCTGGAAGGTTGAGGGTGGCTAAATCATGACGTCACACCAGACCATTGAGTCTCTCACTGTTGCTTTGAGACGTGTATGGAGGTGTTGACTACCTGGTTGGGGTCTCCGAGATAGTAGGAATAAATGGTTGGAGAAACTTGATGATATGACTGGAAATCGGTCACTGTGGGGCAGATGTAATCACTCTTTGACGTTTTCGAAAGCTTGAACATTTTCACTAACTTTCATCCTCAAATTCCTCCTTCCATACACTTTTGTCTCCCCCTTGATATCACTGTTTTATCTATCCACTTGTTCTCTGCATACTATTGTGAAGTGTGACAACTTGAATCAATGTACTTATATGCGAGGTTCTACGCTGACTTTTCTTTGTCTGTCTGTCTGTCTGTCTGTCTGTTTACAGATATCGATAAAAGAAAAGTAAACACATATTTCTAATCATGAGGTAAAGGGATGTCATCCCGGAGCCTTCCATACCGCCCATTGCTTACTAGTACTCGTTGTGAGAAATGATTACTAAAACACGTGTAACTTGTGTATGGGTGGAGATACTATGACGACGGCGATTAGGCTCACTACACAGAAGATAGGTAGACGGTCGTACCTCTATATTTGAAGACTGTCCCCCTATAATCCACCAGTGACTATCCCATGACCTAATGGAATGAAATCAAAATACCAAACTGCTATCCAAGAGACTGAATACATATTACCCAATAATACACAGATTCAAGAGCCATATTGGAGAACACTTATGAAAGAACCCAGTCAGTTTACACAAAAATGTGACCAACGTAGAATAGTGATGAATCTGATCTTCAAATAGCAAATGGGCAGTAAGGAGTACGATAAGGGCTAGCATTCAGTCATAAATTACATCTAAACAGTTGGCTTAGTGTCTGCTAACGCATGAAGTATCAAAGGCCATCCTAGCCAATCACTTGAGATGACATCAGAAATGACCTAGAATCATAAACCGTAGAAATAGTGCTGCGTCATTCTCGTGCCTTCTGTGAAACGTAATGCTTTATATTTTGCATTTCTTAGTCTCCATATTTTGTGGAGTTTGTGCATAAAACGATGATAGTTATAGTAAACATAAGGAAAACATGGGAACGAAGTGTTATGAAGCATAATACCCTCAGTCAAATAACACTTAAAACAATATTAGTCACTTAAAAATGTTTATGACGATGGTGTGAGACAAACAGAAACCGCTGCACGATCAACTAAGTTGGAGTATACCACATCAGCACATCAATGTAGAAGGTAGCACGAAGACAAAGCGGTGAAATATATGCTAAAATAACATCTAAAGTTGTGGAAAGCCATTAAACAAAGACGAGGAAAAGATGGGTAAAAACCAAGTGATGTTCTGTCAACGCCTATATATATATTTATACGCTTTTTCTACTTCTTATCAACACGCTATTTAGTGCAGAGAGCTTATTTTTGCTAAACTGACCTTAGAATGGACATGTAAACGGCGGGCCATAATTGCTAATAATTGTTCTTCATCTGTTTCATTACCAGCTTATCCAAACAAACACTCCTCCCATTTTGAATCAAGTTACAGTACGTTATCTTTCTTCCTTTGTGTCTCTACAACAAACCTACCTCCACATTTTACGTGCAATGGAATACCGATGTTAACCAAATCTTAGTTAACCTAAGTAATCCCATGAAAATTCAATCATAGTAATGACGGAAATTGAAAAATATCCTTGTGATAGTTATTGATACTGGGTCGAATTGCATAAGAGCCCACCTGCCAACAGAGGTTGAGCAATTCAAACCAGCATAGCGACGGGAAAGTAACAATAAACAACACTGATACTCGTCACACATATGATGACTCTCGTACCACAGTGTATAATCCATTAGCATTTGAAGCAATGGGTACGAGTCTCCATAGGAAGAACATCACTCACTGGGGTGAAGGTACATCCAACTGACGAGTCCCAAGTAGGACGAAACGTACATCCTGGATTCCACTGCTAGCCACCAAGTAGACTACCATCCCTATGATAAATATTCGATGTTTTCCGAGTAAGAATACAGAAATACACTATGAGTTGGGTGGGAAAAACGCTCTATTTCCTAATGAAATAAGCGATTATGTAGTCAACTAACCCGGTGATAATAATGATATGTCATGCCATGTTCTCCCAACTATCCATAAATATACCTTCTACGATTGGGGATATTGTCGATCTCATTGCTACTCCTTCTGTTTATCTATACATTTTGTCTTGATATTTGAAGACTGGAGGTTAGGCACAACTGTACGCCTAGTATGGTCTCATCAACCGGTATCTTGGTTCCGTAAGTTCTGAGTCAATACTTAGTTGACTTCTGACTACCTCCAGTGCCATATTGATTGGTATTTCAGTATAAAGACTTTTTAAACCTAAACTAATCATTTTTAGATCTTCTATATGTAGGTCATTAAGCCGTAGTTTCAATTAGTAAAAATTTACTAGTCCAGAATTTAAACGGTTCCTAATAGGACATAATATCGATCCCAAGTACATTGATGGTTCATATGTTGGGGTATTTCGGAAGTCAACGATAGGTCTACGATTATCAGTTTCAGGAATTAAACTAAATTATTTAGACTAATCTAGAGACAGTTTTAGTTGGCGCATCAGATCGGCTGTAGATTTCTTAATTTTGTCCATGATAGTGTCTAAAAGTTTCTTGATCGTATCAAGGCTTTACAAACGTGTTATCCTGCTCCTAATATATGATGGCGATATGTGACACACTGTGTTAAAATCGGAACATATCGATAATTTCCTCACATATAGACTCAGTAGTAGGTGCAATCTAATTCACTAACGTGGTAGGAAATGAATAACGAGAATTACCTACGTTGGATTGCAGGATAAAACGAAGGACAGGTGGCGGTTTGTATACTATCGTCAACAGGAAACCGATACATTGTAACAAGTATCTAGACTTCAGGTCATCTCATGCAGTGCCAGTTAAGGCAGGTTTAGTCAAAAGCCTAAATGATAAAACTAGAAAACTCCAAGGAATTGAAGCACATAGAAGAAGCATTAATAATTAGTAATTATCCTCTACAGTTTATTAAAAAATTCGTACGAACACACAAGAAGCGAAATAATAACAGTAACACGAGTAGAAAAGAATTCAAAGCCTCCAGAGTTACCCTACAAAGAAAAAACATCCGAAACTTTACGTAGAATCCTCTCTCAACAAAGCTGCAATTACGGTGGCATTTAAACCTACAAACTCAACCAGAGATAAGCTTTTTCAACTGCCTTAAGAAACCGAAAGAACCAATTCAGCAAAATAATCTTATCCATCACATTTCATATAATGACTGAGAGGTAAAGAACATAAGTCGAACTAATCGGTCAGGGTTAGTCAGACTAATGGAATATAGGAATTTAGCTAAATATGGAATGACAGATCCCAAGAACATCAATAATCTAGAAAAACGACGCCGCTGCTACACTGTATGCATTAATACAAAACCACTCAGTAGGGTGGGGGGAACCACTGTACCTAAATCAAATATAACTAGGTGGAGAGAGGGAGAGATTGATTACTGAATCCTTGTTCATCGAATAAATACCCACTATACCAGAGATATGGAAAATTCTGCTATCAATAACAACAAAGAATATGAGATGACAGGACTACAAAAATCGGTTGTTGAAAGTGGTGTGATTAGATTGATATGATTATGAGCAATAAGTTCTGCTCTGAACGTCATCAAGTACATAATACTGTATCACTGTGTGCTATAAATCAAATAAACAAATCTAATATGGAATTATACTCTACCACAGTGCCCAAGTTTAACACGTATACTATACTTAAACTCCGTCTTATCAGCAAAATAACACCAGAACCTAACACTGCTACCTGACATTAGCAATCCTGTGGGAAAAGTGACACCCGAAAGTATAACTTATACAGCATAAAAGTTCATATAGAAGGGTTATATACACAATGATTTAAAGACCTACATGGCAGTGGCACCAAATGTCACCCAGACACACAACATTATACTTGCCACATAAAGGCTAATTCCATCAATCAAATACACAAACTTTGCAAATATTTCTAACAACAGTTTCTAGTAATCCGAGCATAGGCACCTCCGACTTTTGCAAAAGTACTTTGCTTATCATTTTGACTATCTGAGATAGCCGTGGTTTGACAGACTAGTATTCATACTGGGTGATGATTGAAGGTGAAATGAAAATTTGGAACACAGCCGGGCAAAACCCATGGTGACTGAAGTGAAACAAAATCAGACCTCATAGCTCAGTTGGTAGAGCATCGGGTCGGAAACTCGGTGGTCGTTGGTCCGAGTCCGGCTGCGGTCCAAGTTTTTATTTCACCTGCACCCAGTATCAAAGCAATTTGTACCGATATAATGCAATCCACATACTCTACTTTCAAAAACGTCGTAACTACATGAGATTCACCTGCAAAGGTCTCGTCAGTGAGGTATTGCTACTGTCCCTCATACAATACACATGCCTGAAACGAAATGAGTCCCAATAAACGTCAGCGTACTGATCTAAACGTGATACCCATTCTGTAAATTATGAAAACACCTGAATAAAGTCAAACAATCTGTAGCTTTTAGCAAAGTCAAGCCACTGATGAAGGTCATAGCATTCAGGCAAGAGCAAGTAATTTACAATCGAAAAGTAGCAAGCAATAAGCAGAACTTACCAGTGTTTTTCCAGCCCCACAAGGTAGGACAATCACACCAGACCGAGCACGACCATTACCAAACATTTTACGGAGACTTTTTTCTTGATATGGTCTAAGTGTTGTGCTTGCTTTCAAATCAATCAAAATATCTTTATTTACACGATCTAGACGAAAATCATATTCAGCCAACAGTGGTACTTCTAGTTCAATACATCTTCGTTGAAGAATTTCAATTTGATCTTGATTCACCTCCAAGGCGAGAACAATCGGCGTTTTTTGATCAGTGGAATAGTTGAGTCTAGCACCAATTTTATACTACCGTCAACATGACTGTCATCAGTATTTTTTATATCGATCACCTCACCTTCACGATCAGCAACATCTGATTCAATGCCAATGGCATTGATGTTTACATTATCACTAGGTTGTTCTAAAAAATTGTTATCTGATTTCCCTGTAGCACCAGTATTTGACCCCTGGATTTCTTCAACTTCTTCATCTTCATCGATTCGAGCGTAGAGACGTAGCATTTTATCCTGAATACCACGATCCTTTTCACTGTTAGCATCTTTACCACTTTGGATTTGTTGTTGTTGTTGTATGACTAATGATGCTGCATTGTAGAGCTTTACAATTTCAACTTCTCGTTGTGGTTTCTTCAGGTCATCAGTATCTTCAATCATCTTTGTTTTAACTAAACACTGTTGTACAACTTTATCATTTGCTAGTTGTTGTAAAAATTGACGATGTGGACTTTCGACAAAGTATCGACCACCTTTCAAGACTAATTTCGCTTTCCCATACGATAGTGTACAACTACGAATGTAGGCGATAATACCCTCTGGTAGGTCAGTTTTACATAAACGACGTAGACAACCGATTATTTCACCAGTGCGTAAACCAACTGAAACAGCTGCATACAATGAGTAAGAAGTAAGTTTATATTCATGGATATGTAACGGTCGACAGACTGGTTCCGAAATAGCAATTAAAAAGTCTTGTGCTTGACGAGCCAATGGACTAAATGCTTCAAGAAATATGTGTCCATCAGGACCAATCCATAATGGACGACATGGATGATCTAAGCGTAGTTTCAATATATTTCGCATATCTTTCGCACCGAATTCATCTTTTGGTGTACACACAACTGAAGCATTGGTAGATTTATAATTAACTGTAGAACCATACTCTTGACGTACTTTTACCTTTTGTGCTCTTGATGCTACACGCAGTTCATCTGCATCTATTACACCTGATTCATACTCATCTACATCAGTATCATCAGCATTGTCTTTATCACCATCATTCAGAGCGTCATCATCATTAATCTCTGAGTAGAGTCTACTCCCAGTAGCTTTCTTCACATTACAATCATCACTTACATTGCCATAGAGATCCTCATTTGATTTATTATCAAAATCTATAGAGCCTGACATTGTGGAATCTTCATCTTCAGGTCGATAAACTGAAGATCTAGATCTTTTGGGAACTGACTCCTTAGTGGATTTTGAATTTCGTCCACGTTTACGACTGTCTGATCGACCATGCCAAGGATCACGGACTATGGTGATATCGGTAATTAAATCTGAAAGGAAAATAAGATTGTTTGAAGCGATATAAAAGGCATACGAATCAGAAAGAACAAAAGCTAGCCTTATTTCACGAAAGTGTGTATCGGCACTAAATAGGTTAACAAATTAAAAACACAGGACATGGTGATGATGAATAAGAGCATGAAACCAAATGTTTAAAGAATTCCAATGAAGTCAGAGCGATATGAACTGAGAGATTTCATGGTTTAATGATCGACTAGATAATGATTAGTATCTAGTTTTCTCAACATGCTTGAATTATGTATTAATGAGTGTGATACGATAGTACCATTACACTACACCGAACCGAATACACCCTGGGAGCATACAAGATAGGATGTAAGGGAATTATTCAAACCCAAAGGATAGATGCGTTTTCATCAAAAGTACTGCGTTAATACAGATATTTACAAAGTAAAATTTGACATACTTTCCAGACAACGTGAGTTTGACTTTTCGTTGACTGGTTGGTTTTTCACAAAAATACCGTGAGAACACTTTAGTCACGCATACTGACTGAAATAGGAAATAAGGCAAACTTGAAAGTGTTTCAAATGTGATTGACGTTTTTTATTACTTACTTATTTTTTCCTTTACTTTTTATTTATTCGACTTGCTTGATGAATAGCATCTGCCGACAATAAAAGCGTGAGGGGATGCCCTGAACTGGTTTGTCAGCTAAAAAGAATGTTTTCCTGTGATAATCGTTTCAATTTACCTGTGACTGGTTAGCTGAATATACCTGTATTATTTGTACCATAAAAAGGATTCAAAATCCAACACTGATAAAATACATAAGATTGTCCAATACATTACATCGGGAACCCATAAACGTCAAAAACGGATAGGCAAACACACACACACACAAATCCAAGACTCTAAATTTAACCCTAACTGATTCGGCCATTAGTAAAATAGGTTCTTTTTCATAAAAGTAAATCTGCTAATATGTACAAGCTTTTCGCCCACGTTCAGCAATAATTCTAGTATTACTATAAATGAAACACAGAACTACAAACCAGTGTGTCTAAATGGAGTCAAACCATTTAGATTTACAAACCCTAATAACTGAAATCCGGTCGCAAGCCCATGGTTCAAAGGTTGAAAGTTCATGCATCAAAATGTTGAACTGTAGATTCATGATTTCATAATCACCACTCACTAGCATTTTTAGAATGAAGTAACAAAAGATGTAAATGACAAAATATGATAAGTAGCTATGTTACATGGACAAGTAACAAACACTAAACCACAAGAAAGCATTGTTTTTCTGTACTAAAGGAAAGATTATTTTCAATCCAACGGTCAGTAATTTCAGTAAATTAACGGAACTACGTTAGGAAATCTTTGGGTCCCATTTCATTGACTTGTTTTCTTCAAGTCTACAGCTTGGCGATCTCAGACAATAAATAAAACAGAAGGAATTCCATTAGTGATATATGAATGACAAAAGTTCTATTCTGACCCAATAACATAAGGAATCTGACTACATTTGTGTTTGAAAGAGTAAAGTAAACTTGTTCCGAGGGCATGATCGAGTATAAATTAAATGAAGGCTTTGAAAAAATTATCCAGGAAGAGTAATCAACAAGCAAGCTAGAAGCATAAAAGATTCAAAGCAGCTAGTATAAATCGATGTGCCATTTTAGAGATATGTTGTGCGAAAAATAATGAAGTGAGGACTCCACAAAGCAATAAGATGAATTTCATATAGTCAAACAGAAGTTTCGCTAACACTTAGCGAGACAAATGCATAGATATTGTTTAGCTCTTACTCAAATAACTAAGGTGCTCTCAAGCGATGCCAGGAAGTTTTATAAATAAACATATCGTGGACTATGGGTACGATATCGATGCGATCAAACTATTCTTAGTTTTCCATAGACAATCAAACAAGAAAATACGTGCAGTTGGAGGAGCACGTATGATTCATATCTTTTATATCTAGAAGAAAATGGTGATCATTCTGAATCTGTCCTTGTGACATTTTGAATGTATAGCGGCTTCACTGATTAATTTGTTCTACTATTTCTTAATAATTAAAACTAGAAATACGAAGCAAGTTATTCTCAGGTAAATGGAGTGATTTTTGATGAGTATTCAGTCATAAACAATGGGAAAAATGAATATTGATAGGAACAAGAGGAGGAAGAGGTGTACAAAAATCACTCTATTTACCTAAGAACAACCTGCTTCATATTTACAATTTTAATTACTCTATTCAATATTTACATCTTAATTTCTAAAACATCATCATGACTTACTTAAAATCGATAATTATTGTTCATCAACTTCCCACTACTTGATCGGTATTTTGATTGAATTGTAAAACTATATATTAGAGTAGAACCCAAGACGAAGACCTAATTGAAAAGGAATATTTTTCTTCGCTCAATCAGTCTTTTTTCTAAAATTATTTGAATTTTCCCCATACTTTAAGTAAACTGAAAGAGTGAAAAGAGGTTCCAACATTAGGTGAGAACATAAAGAGAGTGATTCGAAGAGATAAGAAAAAACATATCTCAGCCAAAATCGGTAATAATTTTTATATAGTCAGATGAATAGTTCCAGATTTGCAAACGAATGAAGTTCAAATACACTAAGATTCGAGGCGAAGGAGTTGCTAAACATTTGTCGAATTATACAAGCACAAAGATAACAGAGATCAAAACTCAATAGATGGAGAGGAAGGTATGGTGTGACCAAAATAACAACCGCATACCAGGCAGGGTAAAGGAGAAATAACTACGGTATATTTTTGTGTGAAAAGATCAGTTTCAAAATATCCGATTGTAAGAACTTCAGCAAAGCGTAACAGACTTGGCAATTTTTATTTATTATTCTGAAGGCTTCAGGAATCTATTTGATGACCAGCTTCCTTTAGATACTCGTCAGTTGCATTTATACACAAACTGTGTTTGCTTCAACACAAATTACTTGGAACATGCTGTAAGTTCTTTTTTCTAGCTTGTTCTCTTCAATGAATTAATTTATTACAAGTATTCATCCCTCACTGGATTACTTATGATTCCTTACATGATGACGCAACTGAAATCTAATTTCTACAACATTTTATCAGTTTTCACCCCACCCACCCCGCGCTCCTCCCCGTACAATTCTCCCGAAGAGCTATCTTACCCTAATTAGAAAAGCCTTTCCACACTTCGCCTGCTATATTTCCTTTTATTCAGTCTAGAATATATGTTTATCCCCCTATATCACATCATGGTACATAAAATACAATCAAGTATGTGGAGTATTCAGTTGAGAAATTCGATCGAGACCTTATAGATTTACTAAGTCCTTCATTATATCTTTTCGTTGGTTGCTGAAAATTATGTACACCATTTCTGTAATATCTTTTAGAATAGGCCATTACTATTATTTCATATATATGTATAATTTTAAAAACCAGTAAGCAAAGTTTACTTAATGACATGGTAAGAAATCTTGAGTCGAAAAATTACAAGTGAGTATCAAACTAAAAAAATACACCAACCTAATTGGGTTTTGAGACTTTCTATCTTAAAATAAAAATATCTGCTAGACGAAATTCACCTTACTGCTCCATTCACCCGATGCATACCTCAAACTATCAATCAACGATTATGCAAAATTTATCACATATTACCAGGAGCATCAAACTGAAAAAAGTAGTGACATTTGCGTGTTGAAGCAAGATAAAAGATGCTCTGATAGGCATGTGTACAAAGCAATCGAAAAAATGCAAAGTATAGGAACACAACCTGAAAAAACCAACGAAAAGCACTCAGGAGACAGAACTGCTATGCAGAGACGAATTAAAATAACAACCACCTTTGATTCAATAATAATCAAGTGGTTCAAAAAGGAAAGATACACTCTTATCATGAAAGATTATTTTGTCATCAAGGTTTGTTCTTTATTCTTCTCAACTCTTTTTTCAGTGATTCATTACTGAGGGAGTATGCACCACCTTTTGTTTTTAACTTATCTGAAAGTGTATATATCCGTGTATCCATGTATTTGTTTCTTTGTTATGTGTGGTAAAAACAAATACGTTAAAAAAACATTTAGTCATTCCATATTATGCCTGATACTACGCTGTTGGCCTTCCTATTGGACTGTGTCACTGGTTGCTTCATTTGTATTTGTCGTGAGATTATATCTAATAAGCTCACCTGTACAAATTTATTACTGACATTTGGTTGGCTTCTGCTTTCTAGCTTTTTGATTGGTTGATCAACAAATAGATAGATCCCCTCAAGCATATATACATATATGCTTATATATATATATATATGCTTGAGGGGATCTATCTATTTGTTGATCAGCCAATCAAAAAGCTAGAAAGCAGAAGCCAACCAAATGTCAGTAATAAATTTGTACAGGTGAGCTTATTAGATATAATCTCACGACAAATACAAATGAAGCAACCAGTGACACAGTCCAATAGGAAGGCCAACAGCGTAGTATCAGGCATAATATGGAATGACAATGTTTTTTTAACGTATTTGTTTTTACCACACATAACAAAGAAACAAATACATGGATACACGTTAAAACATGATAAAAAGCAAATAATTTCAAAAAGGTTAACATACATTCCCATATGCAAAGAAGAAAACGGAAATTTAAAGGAACAATGAGGGAAGATGTACTACCTTTCAACGTCTAACTTGTGACCATCAGCATACAAGGAGCAAAAAAGAACACTTGGAAACTTTCAGGAAAAATAACCATCAATCGTTGACTAAGCTCAGCCACCCCAACCTTTTGGGGATTTCTGACATAAAAATGTTATTTATGGAATTTTAATTTAAAAAATTCTTCTTACATTTCCGTGCTACTGGTAGTTTAATCTTAAAGAGTAGATTTATAATCAATAACAAGGATAGTGGACATTTACTCATCAGCAACAAGAACAGGAATAATAAAACGTGAGTTTGCCGGGATATTTTTTTAGAATATGAAGGATAAAAGTTTGCAAAGTATTATCTTTCACAAATTATTTCAGACAATCTTGCCCCATAATGTAGGAGCATTTTCAAGTAGATTTGAGCATACTTTTTATTGCAAAACTACACTAACTAGAAGAATTTTTTCAAAGCTATAAATGGGAAAATTGTTCTGCCTTACTTTGTAACTTAGTAATATCCAAGCTGGACACATATCTTGGGGAACAATCCCAGGTGATAGAAACTACATCGCTTAATAAACTGATTTTAAGTCATTAAAAATTGAATTTCTGAGGTATATTGGTACTTTTCCTCACCATAAAATATACGATATAACTTTACTTAGTGGAAATGTGGTTCATTTGCTTCAGCATTCGGTTCAGCGCCCGAACTATACTCAACGTACTTCGGTTTGATCAACCGAATCTTTACACACTATATGGTATAGCTATAAAATGAATATAGTCGCGGTTACATCTTATTTTTTCGGAGGTAAAATATAATGAATGAAATCGCCGAAGAAAGATATCTTCGATAAAGTTCTCATGTTTTTAGTAACAGAATTAAAAATGATGGTGTTGCAAGTTTACATCAGATGCCACGAGTTAATGCTTATCCACTGCATAAACTCAGATACCTATTGGCTGCAGAGTATAAGGTTGACCTACATGCACGTACGTAAATAAAGCTATATTTTAATCAGACTGAAACGCTGAAATAACTGAAATCGTTAATTAATGTTGCATGAATGATATGTGGGCTAATGTAACCTCCGTCACATCGCATTTCTTGAAAAGCAAAAGTGACAGAAAGTTTAAATGACATTTTTACAGTTGATTGTCACAGTACACTTGTATTCATCATTCACGATTGTTCTGAGTTCAATAGGGCATCTCTTCAACCCCTTTGCTACTAATTCTTCACATTTTTACAAAAACTTCAACACCTCTGACAAGACAAGAAAATTTCACTATGTAATGTAGCAGATGAAGAAACAAAAACAATCAAAGTAGGTTTTTACATTATCGATTATTCTCAATTGAGAAATAACAGCTTATGGAAGAATACTCACCAAACGTTGTGTTTTATTATCTATTGATACTTATAATTTCTTGTTGTTACTCTGAATCGAACCGATCGACTACTTTTGATATATAAGCTCTTATGCGGATGCTGGGTTTACGTCTTAGTGAGAACACTCACTAAGGTGCAGGTACACTCGGCCGACGAGTCCCAAAAGAAAGAAACACATGTCCTGGATTCCACTGCTAGTCACCATAAAGCAAAATACAACATAACGTTGTGTTTTAGTTTGCAATGTTTCAAAAAGGCATCTTGACCTCTCTGATATCTACTATATCCCTATAAAAATGTCAGATATTTTTCAACCCTCATCAATTTGCACCGTACCATCAGTGGGCACTTGTCTTCATCTTTGATTAGTCCCACAGGTCACTGATTCTTAGTAAAACCTTAGGATAACCAATCACTTAACCAACTTATTATTGTAGAAAAGTGATGCAGTTTAAAATTGATTTTTTCAATGACGAAAAAAGATCATCATTGGATTTTATCGCACTGTAACTTTGCACAAAATAGGATACTAGCGTTGGTTTTCAGAAAAAATATATGATGCATTCTATCAAACTGTAGATCCAAACTAGGGTTGAACGGTTCAGCAATACTTCCTAATATTTGCATTTGAAGTTGATTGCTGATATACAATCGTCTTCATCAAGTGAATTCCTCGCAAACGAACTGACTTTAAATATATAAAAAGGCTGTACAAACGAAGTTTGTCACAAGATTCTAAGTGAAATTGTCTGTTAACAATACCGACAAGTTTACTAAGTAATTGTCAAGAAATTTCTTAGAACCCAAATTAAATACATACACCTCGAAACGTCGTGTTTTGATTAGCTGCATGTATCAGTCAAACTAGTCTTAGACAATAAACACGTGACTTTTAAGAGCAAGTGACCTCTAAATGAATAGCAGAGATTAACCAGTTATTTCATTCAAATTATGTTCAAAAAACATCAAGCCCAATGAAATAATGCCTTTGACAACAAGTTTAGTGACCCAACCTTGTCCAGGGCTAAGATACTCCCGATCTGAGGAACGACCACTACTGATTAATGTAACGTCAACTAATAGTATGTTATACGCAGTTTTTCTGCAAGTTTTTTTTACACTCTTATTGGTGTCAAGTAGGTTACCACTTGGACGTTTCAGTCGCTAAAAACATCATGGTTGAACTACACAACTAGTTTACATATAGTAGTGTCATAATCACCGAAGATTGAGTAGTTTGTAAACACTTTCTATTGTATTGTTAATTTACGGTAACAACCAGACAAGTAGACAATTCAACCTAGAACCTTGCACGGAAGTAAAACAGTCCAAATCGGTATAACTCACAGTAACACATCTAGAAGAAAAAGGTATTGTAGCAGAAGAAATTACAGGAGTACTCAAATAAGTGATATTTGATCTCACAGTCTATTGATCTGCAAATGTCACAGGTGAATGGCGCTAACAGAATGTTGAAATAGTTTGGTTATAAATCGACTAGCACACAGATGACTTTTTAGGACCTCTAATATCAAGAAACTTTTTGTTTTTAATGATATAAAGATATTATTTAGTTCGATATAGTTATCAACAAGGGAAAATTTCTTTAACCAAATATTTTAATCCTTAGGAAAGCACTTGAACTTGTGAAAAGAATGAAAGGTATACATTTTTTAGTTTATATGAGCACTTTGTACCACACATTAGCTGTTTCAACATCACCAACTTGGCGAATTAGCGCTCCAGTAAGAATAGCCTAAATCCACATTCATGGATTAATGTCGTCTAGTAGTGGAGTATAAAATGGTTGAGAACATAAATTACTTCAGTCATCATCATCATCATCATTATCAACATAGGACCAGGCATTACTGCGTAACGGTCCGAGTTGCCACACCTCATATCAGCACATCAAGTAAAAAGGTAGTGAGGTGAAGGATGAAGATAAGTGAATGCAGTCAAAAGAAATATAAAGTATGAGAAGAAAGGAAAGAGGAGTGACAAAATAGTGAGATTCGGTATAGCGTTGTTAAGATGAGGATAATGTGTGTATACATCTGCGCCACTGACTTCGGTTCTGAGCCATATCACCTAGGGTCTCCAACCACTGGTTCCTCTTGTCCCGTGGACCCCAACCACCTAGTCTGCATCGTCCTACATGGCTTAAACCAACAGTCAGAGACTTCATACATTGGTGCCATGTTTTAGTCCGGCCACCTCGAGCCTTTTTCCAGCCTGAACCCACCTCAGCCAACATTGTGTGACGAGGCAATCGGTGACTAGGCATACGTAGTACGTGTCCCAACCATTTCAGTAACCTGAGTTGTATGAAAACTGCAAGACAAGATAGCACCGAAAATACAATAGGCACATTTGTCAGCTGCCAAATTATAATATTTGTATTTCTAGTGCAATATTAGAATAGCTACTAAAAACTATGTCGACTGTGAGACAGCTCCCTCTCCTTTATCACATAGGCAAAAAACGTTACATTGGTGGTTCAGACATGTGTTTTATGTATCTAACCACCACCTGTCAGAGCACCTTACAATATATAGTATATCCAAAGGATGTGAAAAGTCCTAGTGGCTAATTCAAAACATGATACGAATCTACTGACTACGGATGAGGCACATACGGAACTGTAGACTTCCTCAGGAAGTTTACATGATGCCACAAACATCAAACATAAAAAATCCCAATGTGCCTTTGAGCCAGTCCGTGGCAAATCTACATCTCTTACATCTTCAACATCCTGCCCAACAACCTAATTTGACGTGTTATATTAACCAAAGTTGGATGGGTTTGGAAAAAACTTAAGAGCGACCAGATCAAGAGGTGGTGCCAGTTCAATAAGTCTCTAACTGTTGGTCTAGTAAGTGTGAGGAGACGTAGACTGTCTGGTTTCATTCTAAGGGACGATAGCAATCAATGATGAGAGATACTAGTTGCTATGGCTTGAAAACGGTTGGCAAAGCATATACGTAGATACTCTTTATTATCTTCTAAGTCTTGAACATTTTCATCAACCTCCATCCATTTATTCTCTCCTGTTGCACACACTTGTCTACATAACTTATTTTGACCCACCTTCGCTTTGCATGCTGCTGTGAGGTGTGATAACTTGAACTGACGCACTTCTGAGCCAGGTTTTATGTTGAATTGTTTATCTCTGTATCAACATATTTTTATTCAATACCTTCCATGTTATATCTGAACTTTTTCATTTTTTATCTTTTTTACTTACCCTCTATTTTTGTCACAAAATTTTCATTCCCTTATTTCCAGTTTTTGATAGTTAAGCTTTTCTTGTCTTAATTTAGATTTTGACAACCTGAAACAAAGCAAACTATGTACTATTTTCCCAGTCTTTCTTTCAGCTTGACCCGCTTTAGTTGATTTTAACCGATGACAATATCTGAAAGCAGTATTTTCTCAAAGTTGAATTATAATCCCCAGAAAATGCTTGTCAGTCTAGTGAAATAATTATGGCATAAAAACTTCCTTTAACTATATGACATATGATTAAAAATGATGTTATTTAAGGTAACAAAATGGCATGAAGGACAAATGTGCTGTCGAATTAAAACCAGATTCAGAGTGTCAAGCAAAAAATCCTTACTCGGCTACACAAGCCAAATATACACACAAAGTAACTTGAAGACACTATGCTTCAAAGTGAATATTAAACAATGATTGAGAAGCGACTATGAAGTATGAATAATGTCAAACTGAGTAATCATACATACACGACGAAGGAGAAATTGGAATTCCAAATCATAGTACTCAATAGTAACAAGTAATACGGGTGGGAAAATAGCAATTACTGGATTGTTACAATTCCCAATCTTATAAAGAATTCAAAGAAAGTTGTCATCAGAAGCAAATAGTGTTACCCGAATTCTTATTTACTCAGTTTCAGCTACTGTCACTTATCGGAACAGATGGTGCACGGATAACACATGACCTAGTCATGTTATCATCACATATGAAAAAATTGGTTGATGGCCTTTCCCTCCGAGCAGGGGAAAATACATCTAGCCTTAATATAGACCCTTATAATTCCACTACACTATAATACTTCCGTAGAAATACCATTGACAAGAAATGCATAGTTCCTCTACCACCAACAAACATGCCTGAGCTTTAAATTAAGATAAAAGAGACTGCTGAGCAATTTAACTGCCAGCATATGCTAAACGAACTTCCTGAATATGTGCTTATCAAGACTGACTCAACATCAAAATGAGCGAATTGACCAACGCACTCAATTATTTCATTGTCTATTATGAAACTAGATCTCAGTGTATAATGGTCTAATAGCAACATCTTACGTTTCATACCTGCTAAAAATTATTAGAACAATGGCTTTAGCTATATCACCACCACTACCACCTGAAAACTGTGAAAAACTGCGGTTCTGTTAGCTTATCTATCTCTGAAAAGTAATAGATCTAGCAGAATGTTCATAACATAAATGAACAGGTCCGAAGATAGATGTCTGACACAAACACAGCCAGGCTGTATCACTGAAGAAGACGGCGTTGAATCAGCTACCTGAGCAACAGTATGGAGCCTTCAGTCATTCGGTATACTCGCTCGGTAATTGTTCAGTTTGATATGCACTCAGAATCTGCTGTCGCTATGTGCTCAACTAACAAGTCAAGTGGTTACCTGCCCCCATTACCACGATTAATAATTCAGAGATGAAAAACAAACACCAACGAGTTTTTTAGCCACCAAACTAATCAACAGCCGACTAAAAATACATTAAATTCATTTCAATCAACATACCACCGATAAAAAAGCTAATGAAGTGATTTAAACAATCTACTTATCAGTAGGTCAATTTGTCGCACTAATAATGGTATTGAATAGATTTGAGATTCAGTAGGCTCTCTTGGAAATAATCGCATTTCCCAAGGCAGTTAGAGACTTTCAAACACTATCTTAAGGTTAAATACTGTACCCTAGTATATGTTACTGTTTCACAAACTGACGAAGAGTAAAGATAGGGTCAATGTGTCCTCAATCTGGTTTGAAACCTATTTCGCCTTACAAGTGTAATTTTCATAAGGTTCAGTTAGGCGCAAAATGAAAACTGACCTCGAAATCTCAGAGGCTATTTCAGTCACATCGATCCTTTTGAGGTCTTCACGATATTACTTTTACCGTTCCTTATAAACTGGAATGGTGAACAATACGGACGAGTCTGTCAATTCAAAAGAATCCAAAGACATTCAGCCACCTTGTCCACATTTGTGGAGTTGGCCATGTTTCATACCTATTGTATGAGGGCTGGTGATACTACCCGGTTGCCCAAACCCCAGTAGGTGGAGCATGGGTCGAACCCTGGACCCACTGGTTAACATCCATTGCCCTAAACCACTGGGCCACAGCTCCAAGTCTGTGAGAAATGCATATGATTCACAAACGCGTTAATTTCCCTAGTATTCCCTAACTACAATCCTCGGATACTTTTGAAGACAGATTATCTGCAGCTGTGTTCTGTTTCCTATTTTAAACAGCTTTATCAACTCTAGAAGTTATTTTGAAGAGTGATAACTATGACTTATTCACATTGTTGTAGTATGCTGGGCTACCGCAGCTTGTTTACAGATCACTAAAAATAAAGCTCTGTGTTCCACCCAGCGCCTATTACGAAAGTATATAAGTAGCTCGTCTCTCTAGGCGGTAGTCTTGTTACTGTGCTCACTCATATGGAAACACATATATTTATGAACCAATGCACAATTGTATTCCAAAATGAGGCTCCTTTTCACATAGTAACTGCTAATTAATGTATCGCTTTTCTACCTTTCTTGAATAAAATCTGTAACTACTCACTGATTTAATACCTCGCATGATTAAGTTCACATAGTGTGTCTTATAAGTTCGTGGACTTAAGCTTTTAAAAACAAAAGCAGGAGAACTGATAGCAAAATGAATTCCTTTCAATAAAGTGAGGCTTTAAAAACCATTCCAACTTTGAACCTCATTGAAAAATTTTTGAGCAGAAAAAATCTGAAAATCGTAGTCAAATGCATACTGAAATAACTACTGTGCATGCGAACTTCGATCTCCATCATGATTTTTCGCTTTCTATCCTCCCAGCGATGTAGGCATACAATTTTTAAAAACTCTTCAATCCCATGTTAAATTTCACTTTAACTGCTTTGCTTGTAGATACAGGAATGGTATACTTCATATCAAAAATAGATGTGGTTGTTTGTGTATCACATGCCCCTGTATTCAAAACAAAATTTTCATTCGTTCACCCTAGCACCATATCAAGCTCGAGAGATCAAATGATCACAATAAAGGTTAGGGATGAGAACAATGAGACTTAAGTTGGTGTTCAATGAAAGATGAATAAACGCAATTGTATCATAGTTTAAGTTTTTGAGCTATGGAAGTTTCTAGTCGGTGGACTGCCTTTCTCGCAAATGACTTCATGATGACAGAAGTGGCGTTTCACAGTGAACAGTAAAACATCTCAGCTTTCTTATTTTCGTAAAGGGGTCTTGTTTTTTTCGATTTAATTTAGCTTGTAATGTATGCTGGTGTAATTAGATAATGCACAGTAAGGTAGGGTTGGGTTCATTGAAGATGAGTTTTTACTATCATGACTAAACGGCCGTTTAAATCGACTATTTAACACGGAAAGCAATATTTCTTGAGTAGAAGAATTATGCTGTTGTATAAATATTTGTTAGCAGTCTGAAAATTAAAAGATATGTACGACAAAGTTCACTCATAGTACATATAAACGAATAACCCATATTTATCTTCTTCTCACCATTAACAGGTGCTTTCAATGGATGACAGAGAACAGCCACATGCAGAAGTTGTATTCATGGGAGGAGGTGGAGTTGGAAAAACTGCTTTAATTCGACGGATAATCAAAGTATCAAATCCTAATGTATGGAACGATAACTACGAACCAACTATTGAAGACTCATTCATTAGAGAATTTTTAGTCAGAGGAAACTTATGTAGACTGAGACTTATTGATACTGCAGGAAGTTACATGTTTCCAGCAATGAACAGACTATGGCATCGAAGAGGCTCTGCATTTGTTTTGGTCTGTGCCAGAGACAACGCATCGAGTTTGGACAGAATTAAAATAATTTTGAAGGAAATCCAAGATGAGAGACCAGAAGATTACAGAAAATTAATAATAGTCATAGTCATCAACAAAAATGACATCAGAGAAAATGAATGGATAGTGAAAGATGAAGAAGTAGAAATGATAGCAGATAGATCACAAATACCATTCAGTTCAATCGTTCGCGCATCAGCCCGTGACAACTATGGTATAGTTGAAATTTTAAAAGTAATGTGGACAAGAAACGAAGAATCTGGAGAAAATAAAATTTTATTTGACCCGTTACCTTCTAAAACTGATCCAGTTGATGGAAGAAGAAGAGCAAGTGCATTTGCAGAGCTCTTCAGAAATTCATCCAAAGGAACAATAACCCTTCATACTGACGCTAAAGGTCCTAGACATTCTTACACACCGACGGACAATAGACCACCGATAAACACGAGTACTACTTTACATAATGGCGATTCGTTTGGAATGACATTCATAAAAAAGCTAGGACGACTCAGCCTAGGTGGACACCGCAATAACAAACGGGAAAAAACAGGTGTAGAACCTGCTGTCATTAAACTAGATTGTAATATGTCTTAACATTTCATGTGATACTGTAAAAAAGATCTGTTATATGAGTAACTGGATATCCATTTACATTTTGTACTTTTTACCTGTTTAGTTGCAATAAGCTGACTTCGATACAAAAGGTATGGCCGCTAAAATCCCCAGTATTGTGTAGCCTGAATAATAAAGATGTAATTATAACAACATGCCTTATGTGAAATAAATGGAGAGTACCCTTTTATGGTTACAAGAAGAATACAAACAAAAAACTATCATCCTTAGGCGGTCACAGAGAAAACTACATTCATTTACTTGTACAACCGAACACTTCATACTGACGGTTTTATGAAAGTTTTTTTACCTTGTGTAAGCCACCGTTTATAAAAGAAACGCATCAATAAGAGTCTTTTCGAGGATCTGATTTCAAAGGTATATAAATACTGAACTGATCAAATCATAACTCAAGTTTTAAATACAAGTGGTCCTTCCATTAAGCTTAAATTTTATGAGTACAACTTGGGCACTGTGATAAACTGTAATTCCATTTTTAACAGACTAAAATGGAAGTTCAAGCTTACAGTCATCATCAACTGACCTTACAGGAGTAGGAATAACCAAATAACATTGAAGGGTAATCATCAACATGCAAAAATTAGAACGAAAACAACAAACTGAATTTGCATTTTGAATGTACTGTGTGAAATGCGTTTGTGAGCGAAACGTATCAGTCCAAAAACGATAGAGAATTGACATCGGATTCATCAACAGAACAATTTCAACTGAGAGAAATGAGTAAACGTAAGAGAGATTAAATTCCCACTGCAAATGTCAACAGACGGGTACGTAGTCCACTAAGTAAAACTACTTTTACTATTATTATTAACAAATATCAGAGTAACTTGCAGGCAAATAGGAAGAACTGTGGCACTCACAGAAGTATGAAAGCACTAGCTATGACATTCACTGTAACGAAAGCACGTTAGCCAGTTAATATCAACATCAAACCCAGCAGTAAGGAATAATAGTCCAATTTGCTACACCGCTTAACCAAACCAAAGCGAGAGGCCAACAAGAAAAAAAGTAGGTAAAAAGGATATAAGTACATAGAAAGCAGCTACATAATACAAAAGATGGATTAAAACAATACCAAAATGGGATATGACTACTAAAATGTGCCCTCATATCCACGCAACGAATAATAAAATTTTAGCTATATTACCCAGCATCCCACCATCCATGACACTGGATACAGAGTACTGTACACCTCTACAACTGGATAGGACTAACAATCAAAGACTTCATGAACTGATGCCACGTTTTAGTCTAGTCATCTTTGGCTTTTCTCTAGCCTAAACATACTTTCGCTAATGCTGCTTGGCGGAGTAGATATTGCTTAGGCGTGTGTAACACGTTCTATTCACCTCAGTCGATGGAGGTTCCCAACTTCATCAACTGACTTACCTCTTCGTCTAGAACTCTATCTGGTTTCTACGTTACTAATGAGGTTGCACCACAACAAGGACTTTTCTAAATAGGCAGCGATGGTCGAACATTTGAAGCCTTCAAGTAATAGTAATCACATAATCGAAGACTATTACGTAATCCTCTTTACAATGAGATTACGGGACGTAACCTTATATAGACTAAGGACATCACATTTCCACAACAGCGTATATGAGGAAATCACAGCATGATTACCATCAGCTCCGGTTCTGAGTAATAGTGGAATATATCTTCATTAACCGAATCACATAACCACTTAGATCCCACCCAAAGAGTTGATATTTACTAGTAGATCCTAACCCAACCCAAGTACATTTCATCCTAAAGATGCATGCCACACGCCGCACATATCTTTGTACATTCCAAAACGTCCTAGTGCAAGAGAACGATGAAAGATGTATAAACTTTTTGGTAGGATGTTCATGACATTTGTCTAAGTCACAATAGATGAGTTTTTAATATGACATCGCTTATTGAATAACAACTATCACACCCAGATGCATTAAACCTGCATATTGTTCCCAACAGAGCAGCGTGATCCTACAACACTACAATCACTTAATAAGTAAAAACAACAGGCATCTAAGTCGAAGAGATCGAACCTTATAGGTGTGGGACAGAAAGTCACGCACACAAAAGTTACACATCTCAACATTCACAGTGAGAATGATCTCAAAACAGAGTCAGATGTAACCAAGATTAACATATTTAGATCCAGATTTTTATATGCAAAGCATAACCTCATATGTCACACTTGCATAACAGTGTACGGATAAAGATATCAACTTGGAACCTAGAACAAAACCGCATTAGTTCAATTTGCCCGAAATTTCGAGCATGAAAAAGAGCATGCACATCTGGTCGCTGTTTAACTATATCAAGAATCTGTAACCATCGATTGTTATCGTCTCAACGACCCCAGTCAGGTAGTCTAAATCTCACATATACTGTTTAGGTTAACAGTCAAACTATAAATTCGTAACGCACCTTGATCTAGTCACCTTCAGCTTTCTTATAAAATAATCCTACTTTAAATAACATCGTGCATCGAGGTAAATGGTGTGTCAGCATGCGGAATATACGTGCAACTCATCTCAGTCGGTGAAGATTCACAACCTTATCGACTGACTTAAATTTCATAATTTGGCGAAGGCTGGACGGCCTTTAGTATCTGAGCTCAAATTGTGTCAGCCAAAATCCCAATCGGCCTGACATAACTTCTAACTTGGGTGAAGGGCTCGAAAAATTTCACTACTTTACGCTCTGCATTTGCACTAACAGTGGCTGCATACCAAACGTCAAGTGCTGGGTGTACCACGCTGTAGTCTTTTCTCCTTTACTATGTGACTGTGATACACGGCCGTTAAAGGTAGAGGGTAGGGGAAGGCTTCATGTAGTCGATCACCATCGCCTCCATTGCATCGGGCGAGTGTCGTGGTGTCACCATGTCAGTAACGTAGAAGTCAGGCATAAGTTTTAGAGAAAGCAGGAAGGTCAGTCGATGATCTTGCCAACCTTTATAGACTCAGATGACTGGGACATGTGGTACGCATCCCATATCACTTTCTGCATCATTATGCACTGTTACCCCAGGTAGGCTCACGCTGGAAAGTAGTTACAGGCTACTAAGCTAAAGCATGGCATCAATGCATGTCTCTGTGACTGATGATATGAGGTGTGTAGGAAACCGTTGACTTTCGTGTTTGCATCCACGTGACAACCGAAGTTGGTGGCTGGTGATATGGCTGACAATCGATCTCAGTGGCGTAAATGTATACAAAATTATCCTCGTCCCAATCATCAAACTGAATTTCAGCATTCTCTTATTATTTCTTGCCCTTTTTCAATGACTTCTCATTACTTTTGACTACTTTCATCTCAACTCCTTTACCCTTAACCTCAGTGCATTTTCGTTTGATGTGCTGATGTGAGATGTGTCAACTTGGACTGTCAAGTAGTAATCCCAGGCTCTACGCTGATTTCTTGTCTGACACATTGTGACGATTGGTTGAAATATGAAGTCAAGGGTAGTGAAAAAATCCAAATACCGTTGGAGTAAAAACTACACTCGAACGGTCCAATAAATACACGAAGCAGGCAGACATTACCATCCGCAAGCAAACGTCTCACAGAAACGGGTCAAAAGCCAGGCCTTTTAACAGCAAACCGTGAACGGACTGGAGCGCAGTGGACTCACTCCTCAATAGATAACTGGATATCGTGACAGCATAATAAGTGGCATAAATTCGCAAAAGCCAATCGAACCTTTTATATCCACACCGAGATTTCGTCGGTCACGGGTCCAACAGGATTGATAAGAATCCCTGATTACATGAAGTGGTCAGTGCCCTCAATCACTCCACGTTCTGTTAAATAGGAGAGGGGGTAAAATAGACCAGTCTCGGAGTTACAGTTCGTATTTGAGCGTTGATAAACGCTATCTGCACGATGACCGTTGGAAAGTGGCATACCTTGTCGCTTCCTAATAAATACCAAAGAATTACCTCGTACATTTGTCATCAGGTTTAGGTTTGTGGGTGGTGCTAGGCTCTGAAGGGTTATGCGTGGTGGTCAAGAAAGGATGCCGCTACATAATGATGCCAACCCAATAGTCCAGTGATTCAACCAATAGTCAACGTAGTAACTTATTCACAAAAATTGGTTGTGAATATCAACGTTATTACTCAATCAAAGGTGAATCAAATCGAAATGCAATCAGCAACCTTGTGCGCATTCATGCAGTAAGCAATGAGTCACACCTGTTATATGATACCTAATGGTATTACCTGGTTACCTGAACCTCGGTAGATGGAGCGGGCTTTGAACCTACGACCCACTGATTGAAATTCGGCTCGCTAAACCAACGAGCCACAGCTCCACTCCAATCAAACGTACGCTTCTAACCAAGGCATTGGGAGACAAGGACTTGAAGATCATCCAAAACCAAGATCTTAAAACATCAAAAAACCATAAAGGCGTAGCTTCTAAAGTTTGTAAGTGCTGTATACTCTCCAAAAAGTCTTCAAATAATCCAATGCGAATATTTCGCTTTTTGAACCCAACGTACATTAAACCTCATCCAAGAAATTAGATTCACTAAGCAGACATCTTCCAGAAGTGAAAATATACATAGACAGAAGAATTCGGTAACGGTATCTTCCGTTTCAGCGACAACGATCGGTCGGCTGGAAAATGATGAACAAAGCTTAGCAGTATGGAAAGTACTCAACGCTCGAGAAAGTCTTCGACACACAACTTCGCTGGCTACATCTTTATCGAATTGCAGTCTCACGGAAAGCAATTTCTTTTGAACGCTAACTGATCCAGGTTTTCCTTATTACAACTTTGTTGATGCGTCATCATAAAGCTTTTGGGATAGCTAGTTTTAGTCAGTGACTTGTCAGTGTATTCCAACTTTTTACATAGCAAATCGTCGAACAGGTAAGTGGCAAAGAAAATGTGTCAACGCGCCTATACATGTGACTTTCATCTGCACACTTCCTCTACGTGAACCCCCTTTTCTCCTTTCTGACAAAGCACCCAAAATGAGTTTTCCATATGATTCTCACAAGTGAAAGCAGGTAAACCGCATCTCATTGAATTTCTTTAACAGCTCGTATCTACTCACACTCTGGTCAAGAATAATGAAATCCCAGTCAATATATCATGGTGATACTTATCCAC